TGTAGAGCCCTCCGCAACAGAACTCAACTATCCCTTTAAATTTCATAAAATTTATCTTGCATTATCGCCTCGTCAAATCCTGATCCTAAGAATTTTGTGAAAGCCTAAAAGCTTGCCATAATAAAGCTCTATTTTAGTAATAGCTAACTCTCGAATTAATCTGGTCTAAATCCCCTAAATAATGTTATTTACGACAGACTATAATCTATAAGACTATAATACACAGTATCACACTATACATGGCTCAATTAGATAACATGAATGCCTATAATTAACAGACTTTATATCTAATTGAAACTTCATTCTCTTATATTCCAATAATTTTTGAATGATATGTATCGCCAGTCGCATTATTTTTTTGTTAAATGTGTGTTTTCTTCGACTGTCACCTAGTTACAGATTGAATTCAACCCTTTCGCGAAAGAAATTGCATATCAATTAAAAGTGGTGTATCTAAATATAAATGAAAGTTTCGATGGGGCGAATGCTGCCAAGAAATGAAGAGAGAATGGTGAACCGGCTTTATCTACTTTTTTCTAGACCTTCATAAGCCGGCCCCATCTCATGATGGATACGCCACTGCAGATTGTGTATGAAACTGGGACTCTGAAAAGATTATCTGCCCTTACCCTCTTGCTCTTGGAGAACAATTTTCTGATTCCTGCCCAACAGCAGGTCTCAGGGGTCTCAGAATGGTCTTCAACTTCCTCCTCGAAAGACAAAGATCGGGGTTTGGATTTAGCAGAGCCCATTTTGAAAATTGCCAAAAGGTTTCGAAAAAATTTGCGAAAGTCGCTCAATAACCCTCCGAAAGCTATGTGCGCAATATAAATGAGTTTAGATTGTCATAAAATTATTGTTAAGGGCAGTGCTAGTGGTTACCAGAGATACGCGCATGCGCATTGTTAATCATGATGGGCGCTTGAATTGCATCTACGTCAACAATAAGGATGCGCGCGCAGCAAAAGTTTAGAAAGTTTGTCAGGTGCAGCGCAATGTATGAATCTTTAAAAAAACACATGCAGGTCAAATATTTTGATGTGATTTCTACAACATGATAAGTTCGATAACTTTGGATATCATATAATATTTTCAAATTGATTATTTTGTATGATATCCTTTAATCTATTTAGGTACTTCGAAATCAAATCCCTTTGATAAACATAGGTCTGTAAGTTTGTTTGTTTTTATTTCTGCGTTTTCAAAACAGAACATATTAATCATATACATAAAGTAACAATTTTTTCTTCCTTTTTACATAATTATACATTTTTAAGTACATTAAATATTAATGATGCATACAAACACAAATATTTTTCAATGAAAATAAATGAATTACAGAAAACGCAGGAGACCGCCATCATGAGCGGTAAGCTTGAAATCGACGGCGGACTCGAGAGAATAGCGGCAAACTCTTTAACTCAGCGATGGATATGAATTATGCGGGCAATATTGGGAGGACTGGTTTACTTTACTTTACGTTACTATAACCGGTTACTTTATAAGAAAAGGAATTAGAAAGCATAACTAGGCCTTTTGTATTTAATGCTACGGGCACAAAGGTTCGTACGAACGATAATTTCGTACGAATCTCCCTGTTTTCCATTGTCTTCCCGAATTTCCCTTGTCTGAAAATCGTTCGTACGGCGTTCGTAGCCGTTTGTAATGGCATTTGTGACCGAGGCTTTTAAGTACAGTAAAGTATTTTATGTGTAGCTAGGCGTTGTGGCGTGTGTCTGTAATCCAGCTAATAATGGAAGTTACAAACTGAGTCACGTCTTTCGGATGGTGATGTTTAAAGGTCGGTCCCCAGACGTAAATATTCATATTTGTTGATTGATACACGTATGAAAAAACCCAATACACACACACACACGCACACGCACACATTATGTAGCTATATTTACCTCTTTTTCACTACGACTGAAATTCATAAATTGACCACCATTATACTCTCTCTCTCTCTCTCTCTCTCCATCTCTTCACTTCTCTTTCATTCTATCTCTTTGTCATTTTCTCTTCCACTTATATCCTTAACATTCTTTTGAAGGCGTACTTTTAAACCCATTAACGGTACTGACGTGTTGAAAGTTTATCTATGGTGAATTATGCATTCAAAGAGTTTGACCCATTGGAGTCGGAGGGGGGGGGGGGGGGGTGCGGCACTGACCGCAATGAAGTGAATGAAATGCGAACGAACGAGGCCGTTGAGTGGGATGAGATCATGGATGGGGTTGCAGTGATTTTCCTTTTGAATGATTTCCATATATTTTTTTTTGGTGTAAATGACTTGTCCTCTGTATTTGTTCTGCCTCTGCTCACCCGAGCTAATGTCGGAGGCATAATCATTTCGGGTTGTCCGTCCGTCTGCTTTCTCGTGTAGGCAGATATTTATTGCAAAATCACAAACAACTAGAGGTACCGAGATTCGAACATTATGATAGTTTGTATCACCATATAGGAAGACGACCTAATTAGATGTTTAAGGTAATTAGAACAAAGGTCGCAGCTCATAGAAGTCATTATCTTTTTCTTAAATTAGAGGTACCCTTGTTTTGCAGTCGGGTGTAATGGTCTGAATATCCATTTGCGAGTGATGAACATTTTAAAGATGCATGAGGTCGCAGTGTGAATCTTATTACATCTTATAAAGAGGGGGGGGGGAACAATCCTCATAACGGAAGACAACCTTTAATAAGTAACATAATCATATCACATGATCTATAAATGCGAGTGAGTTTTGGGGCAAATTGCTCTTAGTCGCTTTAAATAATTAGGGGCATGATTGATGATAAGAGGAAAAGGGATAAGACACATATTAAAAAAGAAAAAGGAGCACGTGTCAAAGTACAACCAGTTATAATCAGAAGAGGCACTTACCACGAACATGAAAATGGGAAATGGGCATTAGTCAACTGAAAAGGGGCACCCATCAGATTTTGATACGGGTTTTTATAAAAGGTGAAAAGGGGCATTTATGAAAAGCGGATAGTTCCCTTATTAAAAAAGAAAAGTGGCACGTATCATTATTAAAAGGGAAATTATCAGAGGTGAAAAGTAGTACTAAACGCCCCTGAAAAGAGGCACTGACCAGATATGAAAAGGGGCACTTATGATAAAGGAAATGTGCGTTTGTTGAAACAAAAGGGGCACCGATCATATTTTAAAAGGCGCATGTATCGGAGGTTAAACGGGGCTTTTATGAGAAGGGGGAAGTAGCTTTATTAAAACGAAAAAGGGGCACATGTTAAAATAAACGGAGCAGTTATTAGAGGTGAAAAGGGATAATTATAAGAAGGCAAAAGAGCAATTATCAAAAAATGAAAAGGGGCACTCATCAGAGAAGAAAAAGCACTTATCAGGAGGGGAAGGGATTTTGACAAGTTAAAATGAGCATCTCTTAGATTTGAAAAGGGACAATTATCGGAAGTGAAGGGGGCACTTATCTGAAGTGAAAAAAGGAATAACTAATCATACCTGAAAATAGTCATTTACCAGAGATGAAAAGGGGCACTTATGAGAAGAGGTAGGGGCTCTTTTTTATTGGGGCACTTATCATAGAAAAAAAGGGGCACTCTTTAGAAATGAAAAGGGGCACATGTAAAAATACAAGGTGCGCTTATCTGATTTAAAAAATGGGTAGTTATTAAACAGGGAAGGGGCACTTCTTACAAAGGAAAGGGGCACTTGTCAAAGCAAAATGGGCACCTCTCAGATTTGAATAGGGCAATTATCAGAGGTGTAGGGGGGCACTTATCAAAAAAGCAATAGGCACTTCTTGTTCCTAAAAAGGGGCACTTATTAGAGATTAGAAATGGCACTTATGATAATGGAAAATGGATACTTATTGCAAAGGAAAGTGGGAACTTGTAGAAGGAAAAAGAGCACGTGTCAAAATGGCACTTATCAGAGGTGAAAAGGGGGAGGGGCACTTGTCAAATTAAAAGGGGCACTTTTTATATGTAAAACGGGGCACTTTTGGGATACTTGAAAAAGTGGGGGCACAGTGACCCTTGTTCCTCCCCTTCCCCACCCCAAGGAGTGCCGCCTCTGAATTAATACTAGAGCCAGAGAGCGGACATGGGAAATGATGGTCATCTCTTGGGTGGTTTCAGTTCCTAGTAAGTCCTAGTGAGTCGGCTTCATGCCAGGATGATTATGATCTTGGGGCTTTATTTTGGTTTCGTCTGATGACACAACAAAATGATGAACTAGAAATACACAACGTCGATCTACAATCTCCTTAATTGGAAGTTTACTGACGACAATATCATGATCAAAATATTGATAAAAGATAAAATAAACTTGAAACTTGAAACCATAGCTTAATGTTGCAGCACCCCTTTCCACCACTTGAGCAGCATTCTGGTAGGGGGCGAGGGGAGGGGTGGGTGGGGGAGGCAGGGGGCTTGAGGGATTGTGTCCCCCGACAGAGATACACACACACACACACATATTTTGTATGTTTAATGGCCCACTCTGTATCCGAATTTCCTGAATGTTCTGAGTGTTTCGTAAAGATATGTATTTGGTAGCATTTACTTCCTACTTTTCAATCATACCTGCCCCCCCCCCCAGCTCCCCCTCTTTCTCTCTCTCTCTCTCTCTCTCTCTCAAAATCTTGTACTAGACGCTATTTTTCCTTTTGCTAGACCTCACATTTTTTCCACTTAACCGTTCACTTAATTTTTCTTTCACTTATATTTTAATAATTACATGTACGTGTATAGATGTACATGTTTGTTTTTTTAGAAATAATGAAGGCACAGCTGGGTGTTTAATTTTATCAGAAAGATTCAATGCATCTTTCGTGAAACATTTTTCGTATTATTATTATCATTTTCAAAAGCAAAAAATGCAAGCGTTATACCGTACTAATTATTTGTTTAAAACAAATATATATTTTGCAATGCATTTCAATGTGCCGAGATAGCATGATCATAACATGTATAAAAGCTGTCCATAGAGTCAGTAATTACTGAAACTTCCACGTTACATTATATGATCATTGTTAAGCATTGTGAAAACCTTAAATGATTTTATTACTGCTTCATAGCGCCAATGGCAAACATTCAATGGCCCCAACGCTAAACTCTGAAAGGCCACATAATATTTTATGTGCTTAAGTATATTCACTTTATGTGTTCATATGAAAAAATAACAAATATTTACAAGAATACAAAATGTATGTAATCGTATAATAATTAATATATTTAAAAAAAAATCTTGGCACTATGCACTATTGCATGGAAATAGGCAGTGCATGCATGAGTCCATCCATTAAGGGGGCATTGTTGAGATAGGAGGAGTACCATTGCAATCTTACTTGGGAAATGAAACGCAAAATATATACACGTAGTATACTGATTAGGGCGTGCAGGAGGTGATAAAGGCGTCTTCTTTACTCGTCCCTTCTCCCGTACCTCTCGATTGGGGGCACGTGCCCCTGTACCACATGCATTAGCTATGTCACTGGTCCTGGAGACGGAATCGAAGAAAAAAGTCACACCTGAGTACATGACTGTAAGGTTAGCACAGCGACCGAGCGTTAATATTTTCGCCAATTATTTCCCATATACACGCCAGTGTGAAACACTTGTACCTTCACGCTTCATATAATATAGGAAATTGGAATTCAAATAAAATCCTTGCAACCATTATGCAAGGGAACTCAACAAATATTCAAATTCAAAATGGTAATTATCAAAAACAATTATACGTCGCAACATAATTTCAATTGTGCACAAATTATGTTCAAAGAAAACAAGGATTATTAATAGTATTCATTCAAATCATTTTGGAGGAGGAATGATATATGAAAATACCATTAAATAGTTTGCATGTACCCTAGTACGTAGACATAAAAAAAACTAAACATTTATAGCCAACATATAGATTCACTGTTTCCCATAAAGTTGGAATAATTTAAGTTTACCTCTTTTGTGAGAAGATATTAATTTATTCTTTTAGAAATGTTTTATATATTTTCCGAATTCTTATGATCAAACTTAAGAGTCAGAGACCGATGAATAAATTCTGAGAAAATTCATGTAATTATAAACGTCATCGATCAAGAATAAACCGTATGTCACAAGAGGTCTATGAGAAGAGACATGAAATATAATTGCAATTTTATGGACAACAGGTATAATGATCTCCATCATGAATAGCATTAAACTTTTCTTATTAATATACCTTAACATACATGTATTATACATTTTTCGGCATGCATATAATAAATAGTGTTGGTTATTCAACTGATCATCGCGATAAAAAAACTTTAATTCTACATAATTATGGATATACTGTACCGACTAACCGCAACGCCACCTAACATTTTCGTGTCCTTGTAATATTGTGCGAAAATCCCAGGGAGGAGGGGAACTCACATATTGGGACATACGGAGGTGTGCCGCTCTCATGGGTCACTTTTTCACACAAAAAATCCCTAAACATGGGTCCCACTTTTAACAAAAATACTGTTAGTAAAAATGTTTATAACCTTAGATTATAAATTTATAATAATATCCTGCGCACATAATATTAAGGTCCATCCAATGAAATATTAAAGCAGCATACAAAGAACTATTATCACAATAATAGCTATATTCAAGCTGCCGTATCGGGAGTACTGAAAGCATCCGACGAATCACTTCGTACAGGGTTCCATTTATAACAGCTGGGTTGAGAGAGAGGCAACGTATACTGACGTCTTACTAAAAGGAAATATTGATACGTTTATCACTGTCAGATGGAAGCATAGTATTTAGTTTTACGACGGTCTCAGAACGTATCCGGAATCGACAGGGCTCCACCAGACTCACATTTATATTGGCAATATCACTAATGTTTTCTACTTTCTTATACCCTAGCAGCTTCATGGTTGCCGGACAGATCTGTTCGACCTGCCGAACCTGCAACGGCCGCAGAGCCTGCCTCCATCGTAATGCCGTCTCGATCGAATTCTTGTGCGTGCTAAAGAGCTTCACGCTTCGCTGGTCATTAAAGCGCGTGTTGGACACGATCCATTCCTTGACAACGCGCGGAAACTCGAGACCAACAAAGTCGTAGATCTGGCGTGCAGCACGAAGCGGGTCCAAGGCGAAGTCCTCGTACCGTACTAACTTATAGCGGTTGCGAAGCCACGAGGGTTTTTTGTTCTGGACTTGAAGGATGGAATCTCTGGTCCACTGACAAAGGCGAGGTATGGTATGCACCACGTGATCTGGGTAGTCACCCAATAATCCTAGAGAGTCTAGTTTACCTTCATGAAAGGAGAATAAAGAAATCAGAGTACAAAGTGTGAATAATGCTCGAAGTTTCATTTCATTCTACAGTTAATCATAATATGAAGATTAAAGCTGTATGATATGCATATATAACTGATAAAAGAAAGTCAGAGAACATTCGAACCTTGCAGGAAGGATTCCAACTGCATTATTGACAAAAGTGACTGTACCACAAGGCCATTTCTGGTCCATTCTTGGTCCATGAAGATTATTCGACAGTTTATCTTCATAATTAGGGGTGCATGGGGTGGCAATGGCAATCTGTGTCCTTAGTTCATTACTTTTGACGAATGTAGAGTTAGCTTGAAGACATTGGTTTGGTTATTTCGGACACCCTACGCCCTACAACTCACATGACGATGTCAGTCTGGTAAATCCTAAAAAAAGGTCACATGGCCGGGCTGCAAAATAACGCGATGCTATCGTGAAACCTCAGATGACTTTCCAGAATACCGGCGATAGCGGCATGGTAGGTCTCATGGGCTACATCTAATTCTGTATTTCAATCATATTACATGGCATATCATATCAGAAACATTAATGGGCAGAATAACCCATATATAAATCATACAATAGACATTTATAAATAGTAGTTCCTACCTTTCCAAGTCCTGCGGGCATTGCCCTTAATGATTCTGGGCGGTAGCTTGGGCCTGCTGAAGTTGTAATAAAGTCTTCTAGAATTAGCTGTACCTCGCGGATCCCTCACCAAGTGGATGATCTTAACGTTTTTTCCGGCATCAACTAGGGGTTTGAAGTAGTCGAGGTCTGAGCGAATCGTCTTTATGCAGACGCGATGGTGGGACTGCCTGCAGACATTTCGCATGTCGTCAACGGTGATGGCAGAGCAATTGCGGTATCGGCTTTTGGGTCCGGGTGGCTTTTTGCAGAGGGAAACAATTTTGCTGTTCCGAACTGATCCGCCGTTCCATCTCAGCCATGATCGCGTGAGGTTTTCCCGAAAGTCACAGCGGCTGTAGCCGAGCAGGAGATCGGATGAGATGTTTCCGTGTTGACTGACATCGACATGGCCCGACCTCAACAAGGGGTCAATGGATATCAGCGGTTCGTAGATAAAAAAGAGCGATGGGTTCTGATTAAAGATTTCCCCTATTAAGGTCGACCCCGTTCTCATTCTCGCTAGAATAACAATAAAAACCGGCCGTGTAGATTCATTTTTCACGACATCCTCGGAAATGTCATCATATTTGTAATCTTTACGGACAAGCTCATCCTTTACTTGCGTCCAATACCTGTTCTCCTGTAACTTTTGCGCTTCTCTCGTCCTTTCACTATCATCAAAGACATCCCTCATCCGAGCATTTCCCTGCGTGTGTTCCAAAATATAATCTGCCATGCTTCTTGTGACGAGCATTCCTTGTTTTAATTCTTCCAGTCTACTAGTTCCGAGCTCAGCTGTCTTGTTAGCTGTCTGGGTTATTTGTTTTCTCTGTCTGATCCATCTCTTACTTTGATTCCTGGCTCTGAGTCTATGAGGGTCAATTGAAACAACTTTTCTTGGACGGGTATGCTTTCTGATTGGCAGGCTTTCTTGTGCTAATATGGGCCTTGAGTGACGAGAGGACTTCGTGTTCTGGTAGACGAATAATAATACAAATAAGATACTCATGAACAGGAGCAACGATCTAAACAGTCGAGACGTACTGGCCGATGATATCACCTTCATATGGAGAATTCCATAACACGGTGTGCGTTCTGCTCCCATCATGTTAGATTTCGTGCTTGGACCACCACAGAATAGAAAGATCAAGGATTGCCGAAGAAAATTTCACATTTGGTTACGTTGATGCTTCAATAGCAAAACCAAAAACTTATCTTCAAACGTCATGAGATATATGTTCACTGTAATAACCGCGTTTTAGTTTGTTTGTTCCATCGCATGGTTGGTTGGTTGGTTGTTTCCCCCACACTGCAAAGTTCCATGAATCTCAAGCACTGAAGTAAATCTTGATAGATTTCACAAAATATATAACTTTCCTTGTTCCGCCGTAATCAATCGGGATTGGATAGTCCTCATCTTGCTAACTTTGTTGCCAGCCCAACGGCAAGTTCATTTTCATCCTTACATCGGGTCAAAACACAACTGCGACCAATGGTGTATCAAAGTGCCTCCAGATCAACAACGATTTGGCACAGAAGCGCAAAAGTCTTAATTGGTGTGAGTTTATGCTACTCCTTGTTAACACTCCTGGGGCACACCTTGGTCAGGCTCAAAGTTAACAAACATGCGCTATTCCTCCTTATATCCGTCGTAGAAATGAGTTTTCTATTTCACGTTCTTCTGAGGGCCTGCTCCTCTCTTTTAATCAGGCACATGGTCAAAAGACTGATTTACGAGAGGCTTTCTGCAAATTATTCCTCAGGGAGATCACTTTCGACGACGACGACGTCATCGAGTTCTAGGGAAGTTCAAGAGGTTAATAAGGCGACTTCCACGAGCGAGACACATATGCATCATTCTGTATAATATAGAAAATAGAAGAAAGATTAATGACAATACGGGGTGTCCCCCCCCCCCCAAAAAAAAAGCAATGAGATTTTGATTGGCAATATCTTAACAAGTACGAAGCCGTCATTGAAATTGTAGATTAAGTAATATATAGTTATTTAATTTAAACATTGCTAGGGTGTTTATTGCAGTACATTGCTCACGTTATGATTCATGATATGAATAAGTTGAACAAAATATAAGTAAATTATCATTTATTTCAAAAACTTCTTGGAAATAATTTATTTTGCTTCTTGTAATTGAAAGATATTGTTAATAATATATCTTCATGACATTTTACAAATGAAAAGTTAATCTTAAATGTTTCATTGGTAATTTCACCAGGAAGTCATGGTTTGTCGGGAACGAAGAAGAGACCGGTTCACGCTTATTGTGCACCGAGACCATTCAGAGAGCTCTTTTGTAAAACTTTTGAACAAATGATACGTTTTACAAAATAGTCATAACTTTGTATTTTTTAGCTTAAAGGCATAGACCAGTTTTGGAAACGCCACCCCCCCCTCTCAAAAAAAGAAATGGAAGCTCTTAAATATTACCAATCATGTGAAAGAATATGTTTTGACTAATACATGATGATACAAATTTTGTCGGGAAATCGCCTATACTAATTGATATATTTGGTAAATTATTATATCGATCCAGCCTGGATAGATATCGCATAGTCCCATATACATCTTTCTGTTGACAGTGCTTGTAACTTTACCAAGACTGAGCCAAATTTCTCATCATGTTGATGATTCCAGAACCTTGCAGTACACACCAATACTTATATGCTAAATGATCAACCTTTTCTAATCGATTCCACAACGTTTCTTTCACAATGCAATCGCATGACCAGAACTGGTCTATACCTTTCAATCCTTGTGGAATTCACACACAGTTTATAGGATAATGCGACAACCATACCTACAAAATTTCACTGAGGATGATTGAGAAAAGATCCCTCCCATTTATACTTTCTCTTCCCTTTTCATCAATATTAATCTTGTTCACGACCGTAAAGACTTTCGGAAAGTCAACCTTTACGACAATTTCAGTAGCCTTGTCCATCACATAAAGAAATATGTGAACAGTGTCACAATACATAGTCCAAACATGATTTCTACAGGCAATAAACTATGGATTGCACTGAAGTTGGTGTTTCGAAAACCATCTTAGGACTTGTATCTATCTTTCTTATAACACTTTGGCCCGAATTCACAAAGGCGGTTTGTCGACAAACCTAGGTTTATGTACGTCATACGACGCGTTTTTACGCGTTTTTTTACGTTTGTAAAAACGCGTCAAAACACGTCATGAATTATGACGCACGAAAACATAGGTTTGTCAACAAACCTCCTTTGTGAATTCGGGCCTTTGTATCGGCAAATGTTATAATAAGTTATGTATCTAGGCATCATGGCGAGTGGACATTAATGTAAATGATTGGACCCAGAACGCTCCATTTTACGAAAACTACAAATATATACCGGGTCCTTTCTTTTAACATTATGCAGAATTGCAGACACATCAGACGCTCATTGCTATCAAGGTCTCTTTAGTCACAGTGGCGTAGCGTACAGGGTCCAGAGTTTGAGGGGGGCACTCACAGCATGGGGGAATAAGTTAAAAGTGCGCGCTCAGCCTCTCTCATCACGTACTTCCTATCACGTACTTCCTATTTTTCATATACACTGTCCTTCATTCATGCGGGCCACACCCACTCATCCTTTTCTTTTCTATAATGTTGTCCATGTAGTTCATAATTCTACCCTTGTGCCTCCACACTGCGTCTTATATGTTGATAATATTATTATTATTGATACATGTTCTCCTCAGAAGACTCCGTACACAAAAAACTTGTTTTTTATTGTTTTATTATTGTGTTAAGTTTTATAACATTATTTGTTGAGGGGTCCACACTCTACAAGCTATGCTTTTTAGTGGATCCCTCCATTTTCATCTGACATATAAATATACACCAACATCTCTTTTTCTATTTTGTCCTTCTTGATTTAGATTGTATGATATGAATATCGTATAATCATTCCTTGTAACTAAATTATGACTAATATAAACAGTGTTTTTTTTATGCAAAGAAAAATTACATGTACACTTGTATAATTACCTTTGTATACTTTGTAAAATGCTTGCAGTTTAAGTATTTTTTTAAAGGCCCACTGTACTACTATAGTAGCTCCTTGTTCCCTCTACATAGAAAACAATGCCTAACCGGTGACCATTGGTCCCCCATGATTATCTTTTTATTATGTTAATTGAGAGCTGAGTTGATGAGATGGCCACATGTCAGTGACCTCTCTGGTGGCCTAATCCCTCCTATAGCCAAAATAGTACAGATGGCCTTTAATGTCCATTATGTGTTTTTCTTGTTGAAAACTTGAACTTGAACTTGTGTCATTGCATTTTCACATTATTTTTCTTCCTCATTCTTTTTACTTTGTTCTTTCCGCTCAAATATTCATATATGCAGGAACTGTTATACAACTCAGTTATACACTTCAGGTAATTTGTTGCAGTATACTTTTTCTATAGATTAATTTTCCCTTTCTTTGTTTGAACGTTTCTTCTCATTTCCATCCTTCTATAGGTTCAATAAGGCGAATCCGACACAAGCCCATGCTTTTAGAGTTTAGGCATTCTTCCTTCAGTCAAAACTTTTAATAGATTAGGATTACTTATGTCATTAATATGTAAATATACACATTTCTTGAGTACTTTTCTGATGTAGAAGGAAAAAAATGAAAGAAAGTAAATGTTGCATTCAACTTTGAAATATCCTTTTCACCCCCCCCCCCCTATTTCAGTCATTCTTGTGGGGGTACGTAAAGCTTGCGTCCTCTGTATCTAACTCTTCGTCATCATTATGGATACAAATTAAACTTGTTATGAAGTGACGTATGATGATGACGGGAAATGTTCATAAAACAAACATAGCAGTTTTTTTCTATACTTCACCTTCCCGTCCAGCAGCCTAGATTATGGGCTGACCTTTGCATGCTAAGATAGATAGCGAATGTCAAGTTCAACGATGACCCTGCATGTAAAAGTATCCCGCGGAAATTCAATCAAAAGATTTTTTACAGATGAAGGTCGATAAGTATTCATGACCATAACTGGGTCTTTGGTCTGCTTCATTCCAAAACTGTCTGTCAAACAAAAGTGAATCGTTCGTTGTCCAGTTATCTTAACTTTGAACAAGCCATTCTTTTTTTTAATTATTTGCCCCTGTGTTTCAGCTTTGTCAGCTTTCAACCACATCAAATCTCTTCTTCCAATATTTGCACATTTTATGTTTCTTAGAACTAAGTATTTTGTTTGATTTAGCAATGTCACCAGGGGCGTCGATAGTCCTTTTTCAGTGGGGGGAGGGGGGGGGGGGGAGTGTAGAGGCCACCGATTACCGACAAAAATAGCCACCAATTACCGACAAATACATTAATGCCAATGTCCCAATGTCTAAAATTTAACCCTATAAACCCGTGGCCAGCAGCTAAATTATTTTTCAGTTTACCCCCTTTGCTTTGACATTTCATTAAATTATTAGAGAAAGAAGACGATTTGTTGTACCGTTCGCGACTCTTAATTAATTCGCCCTTCCCGCGCGGAGCGTAGCTAGAAGCTATGACGTTTTATTTAATTATTAGCGAAAGAAGACAATTCCTTGTACCGTTCTCGACTCTTAATCCTTGTCTGAATTCAATTTCCCCCTCCCGCGCGAAGCGCAGAAGCTTTGACGTTTCATTAAATCATTAGAAAAAGAAGACGATTCGTAGACGGAAGTTTCCCCTTTCCCCTTTTCATAAATTAATAGAGAAAGAAGACGATTCGTTGTACCGTTCTCGACTCTTAATTCTAGTCTGAATTCAGTTGCCCCCCCCCCCCTCCCGCGCGAAGCGCAGAAGCTTTGATGTTTCATTAAATCATTAGAAAAAGAAGATGATTCGTAGACGAAAGACTTGATGCATGGCTGATTGTCAACGAAACGGAGTTAAGTCTTTTGTCAATTCTGCTTGTTGCTACGGCAGACAGCCAGTGAAAACGAATTTGTTTGATAAAAATAATTACGGAAATGCAAGCACTACTTTAAACAAACAGAACTTTGTCATTCCTTGCTCATTTTTCCTGATTGAGGTGTCATAATATAATGAAAGGGCAGAAACTCAACTTTCTAGAAATGTGATTTTCTCTTTGAAATTCAGATGCCGTCCGCCAAATGACTTTTCGGTTTCCTCTCTAATATGCATCATAATGTTGCATCAGATGAAAGAGGAGGATCTAAACTTTCCAAATATGTGTCATTTATTAATTATAAATGTGACTAAGTTATGATAAAACATCGATAATTCTCGGTTTCGTTTTTTCTGGGACAGCTCGCAGGCAACTTATGTCCCTACAAGGTACCTAACTAGGGAGAGGGGGCGGGGGTTACATGCTGCATTTTGGGGGGCAAAAGTATTGACAGGTTATACGAATTACTTTTGTTATGTTGTGGATTTTTGTAACAGTTTCAAAATATCGGTCTAGGGCTAATAGTTTATAGCCCTTGTAATATTAAAGTTAATATAGCGCATTGTTTCGGGTCAGATATTAAACAAATTACCGCTGTTCTGTTGTAAGTTTCTGTTTTCTCTCATATTCCAGTGTCATCAACGATTATGAATTATGACATATTATAGGACCAACAGCTTATACACACCTCTAAGTTATTGTAATAAAAGTTCTAAATAACGCATAATACAACATTTGATGTTTTTCGAGGGGGATTCTAGAAAATCTTATTTTATTATGTTGCGGGTTGATTTTCAGTAGCAGTAACATTTTCGTTTCAGAGAAATATTTTATTCACAACAGCAGAGTTATAGGGGCTAACAGTTATGGCCCTATCATATTTATTTTGAATCTTTTGTGATATCAAAAGTATATGTTTTGGGGCCGATTTCTGTGACATTC